CCACGGTCACCCGCTCCTTGAGGAAGGTCCCGGTGGTGAGTGCGGCCGCCCTGCCCTCCACCGGTACCGACGGGCAGCTCCTCCCAGCCGGCCCCTCACAGCGCCGGCCCTTCGCCCCGCTCCCCGCAGTTCTTCTCGGAGCCCTCCATCTTCCTGCACGGCCTGGAGTGTTTCGAGGGGAAGGAGATCGAGCTGAACACCGAAGTGCGGAGCCTCCAGGCCGAGGGCTTCAACAACCACGTGCTGTCGGTGCGCGTCAAGGGAGGGATGTAAGTGAGAGCGGCGCCCGCTCCCCAGGCTCCCCGTGCCCGCCGGCAGCGCCGGGGTGACGGCGCTCTGCCCCTCAGCTGGGTGCTGTGCGAACACGGCGACTTCCGCGGCCGCCAGTGGCTGCTGGACTGCACCGAGATCACCAACTGGCTGACGTACAGCGGCCTCCAGCACGTGGGCTCCCTCTACCCCATCCGCCAGGTAAGCGGCGCCATCCCAAGGGAGCAGGCGGCAACGACGGACCCCGAGACAAGCGCAGGCTGCTCCAGGAAGGATGAAGAGGGTTGCCCCCACGAGCTCCACATGCTGTGAGGGGAAGAGCAGCCAAGTGGGGGCACCCACGAGGTTGGCGGGCGGGAGGCAGCTGTGCCACAAGGGAGGCCCCACGGAGCAGCATGGAGGCTTTGGGGATGCCCGCGGAGAGCTCACAAGGAAGCGCCTGATGACAACGGCCCGTCAGCGGCACTGGGTGACCGGGGCAGGCAGGGCAGGGCCTCAGGAAACGGTGCTGACAGCTCCGGGCCGTCAAAGGTGCCGCCCGGCCGTCACTAGCACCCCTCTAATCCGGGCAGCCCGCCCCGCGCTCCCGACACGGCTGGCCTGGGCTGCTCAGAGCATCCCAACCGCAGCCGGGAGACCAGGTCCTCCCTTCCCGACGCCCCGACCAGCAAATCGATCCACGGGGCTGTGACAGGAGGGAGATGCCCGGGCGCAGAGCCAGAAAGCAGAGCCCAGGGGAAGAAGCGAGCAGAAAAAAATCTCTCTTCCAGAGACGGATATATTTCCGGATGAGGAGCAAGGAGCTGGAGGGCTTCCTGTGCGTCCCCGACGACGTTGAGGACATGAAAGCAGGGCGCGTGGTGGTCTCGAGCCTGAGCGACCAGAGCAGCTTCATCTGGTTCTACGAGGAAGGACTGATCAAGAACCAGGTCAGGGCTCGCGTGCGACAGCAACACGGAGGGCGCACGCAAACCCAAGGACACCGGGAGGCACCCGGTACCTGCTCCTCCTGGGTCAAACCTGCTCCATGTCCTGCCTGGGTATTTCCCACCCTGGAGTGATCTTTCAGGCCTTAAAGCACACAGCCTCAGGTGACTTTTATTGCCCTGATCATGCCCACCTCCCACTGGTTTTCCAGCTTCGCCCACACTGCACCCCACCCAAACCCAGGTGGAGCTGACGGCCAGGGAAACCCTCTGTGTTCAGGGCCTCCAAGTCGCGCTAGCAGCCATGGCAGGGAAAGCATCAGACAAGGACGAGGGACGGGAACGGGCTGACTTGGGGGCTGGGGTCTGTTCCAGGTTGCCCCCAACATGAGCCTGCAGGTCATCGGGCCCGCCGGGAAGGGCGCCAAGGCCGTGCTGTGGTCTGAGAACCGCGTGCCGCGGCAGACCTGGAGCATCGACTCTTCAGGACGGATCCACAGCCAGATGTTTGAGGACATGATCTTGGATATAAAGGGTGAGGCCCCCTCATAGGGGCTACTTTTCCAAGAAACCCCCAAAAGGGAGGGTTTGGCTGGAAGATGGAGCTCCAACCCCTTCCCACCCTCAGGAGCAGGAGGAGAAGAGACTGTCTGCTCACAAGGTACCTTCGGTCCCCCCCAAACCTTCATCTCTCCCCACAGGTGGTCGATCGTACGACCGGGATCACGCCATCATTTGGGACAGGTCAGAGGAAAGACCCACGCAGGTCTGGGACATACAAGTGCTATGAGGGGGCCATGCGTGGCCCTGTCTCCGAGAAGCATCGCAGGACGGGATGGGAGCGCCACCAGCTCCTCCACACTGCGGTGGGCTGCGTCTTCCCCGCACACACAGGACCCTGCGCAGCCCCGCAAGGCTCCCTTCCCACCCTGGCCCCCTGCTCCGAACTGTATTTATGTATGTGCGTACGATACGGCCCCGCTCGCGCTGGGCCAGCACCAGACGCGGGGTCTCTTTCTTGCACGGGGGCCCTCGCGCACCCCTTTGCTGGGACTGATACCCCAGGCCAGGACCTGACACCTGTGTGAACCCTGCAGCAGCCTGGCCAATGCCCCAACTTGCTCCTTGGGCACGAGCCCAGTGCCCTCTAGTGTCCGAAGGCCACATGCAGCACCTGGAAGCTGCTTTTAGAACACAAGGCAGATGCTCTCGTGCCACCCAGAGCAGCGTGCCCAGTCCCAGATGCCAGCACTCAGCAGAGCACCATCACACGTGGCATCAGCCTGGTGGTGGCAGAGCATGGGCTGGCAGAGTCCTGAGCAGCCCCATCCCATGGCAGTGCCAGTGCTAAATAAAAGAGGTTGTGGATGTATCAGTCCCTCTGGAAGCTGGGAAGGGAGAGGGTATCACCAAAGCATGGATGGTGACCCTGGGATGCCTTCCCAAGTCACAGCACTGAGCAGAGGGGCTCCAGGCGCTTTCACTCCTTCAGCTGAACTTGCTTTGGTAGCCAATGCATCAAGATGACCAAGACATTCATACCGAGGGCAGGGGGCTTCTCAGCGCAGGCAGCACTGGCATCATTACAGGAAACCCCAACCTCTGCACTCCCTCCAAGTTCTTGGTGAGGCAAGCTGGATATTCCCATAGTCAGGAAAGCCAGAGCCACAGCCAGAGCAGAGCTGCATTTTAAAGGCACCCAAGTATCACAGCAGACCACAGGCGGCTCTCCAGGCCAGAAATACTGAGGACAGCTGCAGCATGGAGGAGCCACCAGAGAGCTCTGGCTTGAGGCTAAACATCTGCTAGCAACCCTGCAGGGGAGGTACCACCATCCTCACACCCCACAAGCCCACAGGGGTGGTCCTGCCATCCTCACACCCCACAGGGGAGGTACCACCATCCTCACACTCCGCAGCCTCCACCCACATCGCCCCCATGCACCACAGTCAGAATAACGGCGCGCCTACCCAGGCCAGCCTTATATAGCCCGCCCCTGTGACGCGGCGAACTAGGATAGGCCAGGAGCAGCCAGATGGCAGCGCCCCATTGGTGGGGAGCAGGAGCCCTGCCGTGCCATTGGTCGGCGGCTGCG